GACGCGGCGCTCCAGCGCCTCACGGCGCCAAGTCTCACGGTTGGCCTCATCCTCAGACAGAGCAGCCCGCTCCCGCACCATCTGCAGTTCCGCCAGATATCGCTCGCTGCGTTCGCAGAGCTGCTCCAGCGCCCCGAGGAGAGTCCCATGGCGCGCAGCTTCGGCGATGAGATCCTCTTCAAGGTACTCGATGCGGAGCCGGTAGTACAGGCGCTCGGCCTGGAGCAGCGCATCCTCGCGAGCCCGCGCGGGAGGTCGCTGGACCATCAGAGCGGCCGCAAGGCTGGCAACGTCCGCCTCCGCCCACACGGCGGGCTTCTCCAGGAGCCATGCCTGCACGCACCGGAAGGCCGCAGAGGAAGTCATCTCTTTGAGCAGCTGCGGCGGTTCGAAATCATCGAGAAAGCGAAACGACCCATGGCCACATGAAGATGCTCCAGGTGCTACTGTGAATGGACGAACACTTGCGCGATTCCGTGTAAGCACCACCAAACCTCATAACTTCAACCATGGGTTTCGTGGTAGGAACGGATTTCGCCTCTGTAGGCCCCACCCTCCGTTTCTTGCAGTACCCTCATTGGGTATGAAAATTAAACCACCAGGGGACCGCAGATTTTGGTCCATGTTTCCATTTACCAGGGTTCCATCTTGGGCACCGATTTTTGACCCACAGCCATTTGGGGTGGGTTTTTTACTGGCTTCCCCACCGTCGCCACATCCGCGGCTCGAGATCCTGCGGCTGGCGCAGGAAGCCGTGGCAAAGCACCAGGTACTCTCTGGCCTCAAGCTCACGAGCTATGTCCGCAAAACGGCCAAAACATACACCAAGTGCAGTGAAAGTGGGGTTACAGGTCCTCAAGTCCCACATACTATCCCTCCCAAACCAACCTCCATTTTCATGACTATCGTTCTTCCTTCTCAACCACAGTTATGGGGGCCATGGCGCAATGGCAGCGCGCTCGTGAGCTCATGGCTGCGGGAGGTTGCAGGTGCAAGTCCTGTTGGCTCTGGACTTGTCCTTCTTGCATTGTTTGGAACGCTTTGCCGCTTGGTCTCTCCAGAAAGGGGCATGGAAACATAAATGGATCGCCCCCTTTATTGGGGTGGGGGGAGCACCAGTCTGTCTGCCTACACTGTCAGGGCCGCTCATCGGTCTTTGAGCACGGACACACACGCTTTTCGCATCTTGACTAAGCCCCCTTAACTTAAGCCCCCCGAGAAAAAAACACACAATATTTCCAGCAGTGACAGATCCCTTTGAAACCAACAGGGGAAAATAAACCATATTCTTGAGCAAATGGAAGTTAATAGCTTTTGGAGCAAACAGACTGTCACCTCTCCCTGCGAACACGATTCGCCGGTCTTGGGATGCCCTGCCACTTCCGCGATTCATTCTTTGCGTGTCTCGCTTCTTGCAGGTAATCTTGTTGGCTGGTCGAAAGGAAAACCAACAGGAACCCATCCTTGCGGGGGTTTCAAACATACGCACCCATATACGCGATACGCGCGATGTTGACGGAATCACATGAACCTTTTCAAGCCCCGCAGCCCTTTGACAGAGGTCGGAGTCGAAGCGACTTCTCCCCAACCGAGGTCCTGGCCACTGCAAAGGAGTCCTGCCGAAGCTGCAGTAGCAGGAAGGCCTGGAAACTATTATGTACAGTAGTCATGATAGGAGTATGCCAGGAGTATGCTTCGTGTGCTGTTATGTTACCCCCTTCTTTTCGGCTGGGGCCGGGATGCAAGCAGGGCCTCTCTATCTTACAGTCGCACAGGCTGCAACTCAACAGCAGATCTAAGAGCAGAGCCGAAACAGACAGCAGAGCTGAAGCGCCAACAACCCCTTGAACCTCGATTTTCACCCACGCGGCTCCAAACGGCAACCTGTTGACCGAGCGTGTTTGAAGGGAAGACTAGAAGGTAACAGTAGCAACTTTAGCTCTATTCACCAAACGGGAACTTTCTTTGATCCCCGAAGGGTGATGTTTGAAATAACTGAAAAGCAAAACGCAAGGCAGGTTCTCAAAACAGGGCCCAAGGCTTCTCTGTTCCTCCCTTTACACACCAACCAAAGGGGGTCCGAATCCCATTTTGAGAAACTCCCGCAAGGATTCCCGGGAAGAGAAGAATGATAGTTCAACTGGTGGGGAGAAACAAGTCGCAATGCTTGCGACGCTGGACCGTGACACTACATGGGACCGCCCAAGGTGGTTTTCCTCAGGTTTCTCGCTTTGAAACTAACCCAAAAGCGGTTTGCCTCAAGAAAACGCAATGCCTTCAGGCCTTTTGTGTGAAGGGGGGGTATCAAAGTCGGGGAGATCAAACAAACACAGGTGAAAAGAGTACCAACTCCAAACAACATACTGGCCCTTCATAGATTGTAAAGCGAAACCAAACAAACCAAAACATATGCACTTCCCCAAAGGAAACAACAAGTTAACTTCATTTACGTAGGGATGTATGTCTACCATTGAGGGTGCTCCCTGTTGAAATTCATACCTGCACTGGTCTCAACATGAGGGACCAACATGGTGAGCTTCTTTTTCACACCAATCAAAAACGGGTTCTCCTCAAACGGCTGGGTGCCAAATATTTTGGGCGGGGCTGAAAAATATGCAGACAACATATGAGTCACAATCAAAACTCGGTATTAAACGTATTAAAATGGTTGACCCAGAACCATGTCAGGAAATACCAATAAGGGGCCGCAACTATTTATGGCTGGGATTCTTCCTAACCTTCATCTGCCCGAATCGGTTTTGAGGACGTGGCTCACATTTGGTCTAGGAGAATCAACGAGCTCTTTGGCACGAACCTCTCAAACATCTATTTCCTTTGTGCCAATTTCTCAGTTGCCCAAAAGACCTGGAACCAAAAGGTTAACCTTTTGGGGCCATGACTAAATCTAGACCAAAATTGGAAAACCAAAAGGTCAAAGGGTCGGCTTTGAACAACTGAGATTTTCAATGCCAGGTGCCCAAAGCCAAGGACTCTTTGGCCAGGCAACCTCCGAATCCCGTGCCATTTGGCGGTTAGGGAAAATGAAGGAACCTTGGTTGTAACGACCCCCCTGCAAAAAGTGGACCACTTTTTTGGGGGGTTTACTGGAAAACCCCTTGATTTCCCAAAAAGCTAAAGTCTAAAGATCCAACCCAATAGCAGTTAAGGAACACCCAAAGGGCAACAATTATTATACTCACTAGGACCTGGAAATTAGAGGTGATCACCTTTCGGGTTGCCATGACTGAAAATGGAGCAAAAAAGGAAAACCAGAAGGTCCAAAGGTCGATGCGCTTTTGGGCAAGTGAGAATGACAACATCTTTCCAGTGATAGATTATTTTTCGCGTTTTCGCCCCTGAACAAAAAACAAAAAACACATAGTTCCAGTGACATCGATTCCCCCAAAAAACCAACAAGGAACAATGCAGATTCCGATTCCCTTTAAAACCACGGGACAATGCCGATGCCCTGAAAAAATCACGGGACACTGCGAATTCCCTGAACAAATCCCTCCAAAACCAGAAGAAAAAAAAAACGATCTCCCGACAAAAGACAAAAAAAATCCCAGGACATCATCAACACCAAGTCCTTTCCACCGGAAGATCCCTCCGCCCCTCGCGACTTGCGGCCCGCCCCCAAAGGTCGCGCCCCAAAATTCGTCCGCCTCGTAGGTCAAGGCACACATCACCAGGCCTGAGGACTGGGCATCCAGCCGACCTACGTCGAAACGAAGATCGGACGGCCGTTGGAGTTGAAGCCGCCCGTCTCGTTTTTTTGTTTCCCCCACAGGGCCGCAGCTTTTTTTTTCATTTTTCCCCCGGGGTTTGGTGGCGGTTTTTTGCTATGATTTAGTGTCTTCTTCTTCTTCTTAGTCGGGCCGCGGGCCTTTTTTCTCCATCTTTTTTGATTTTGTTCCCCTTCGTTTTTTTGAAGTCGGGCTGCAGGCTTTGGCGTTTTGTGTCATCGTCAAATCCATGAGTGTCTTGGCCCACATGGTTTGCAGACATGCGTTGGTGTGTCTCAAAATAGGGGAGCCATGCTTTAGTTAGTTTCCTTGTGGTGTCCCTTGAGCATAAGCCCGAAAAGGGTACGCTCGACAAATGCCCCATGTGTCATGCCCACATCTGGGGTACAGAAAAAAACATCAAAACTTTCTCCCCTAAGCGTCATGACCCCTCCAATGCAACCCCTGGACCCTCCAATGGAGAACCCCGACGAATTCCCTCTGGGGCCGAGCCTCGAGAGCAACCCAAATCTCAAGGCGAAATCCATCGACTCGGACCCTCACAGAACTCGTCTGGAGACGAATTAAGAACCCACGTCATGGTCTCCGGGTCTCCCAAAAAGTGACGTGTTCATAACTAGGTCCTCCAGTAGAGGGGTTGGAATAAGGGTACCTACCTCTGTCTGTTTCAGTGGGGGAACCCAACACCCCCCCATTTTTTTTAAAGAACGGGCACCAATCGCTGGGAGACCTAGATAAAGCTGGGAAGTCTCCGAACCCCAAGAGACACCGCCGTCTTTGTGTTGGGCTTCTCCAAACACCATGCCCCAAAAAACCTCCGAAGCATACATTTTGGTCTGAGGTCTGCATGGAAAAGACTCAATCATGATTCCGGAGATCAAAGGTTGACATTAGGGACGCTCACCAATACTACCGAGCTGTCCAACCCGGGAAGTAGCGGTTTCCTCAACGATCTGGGCCAACTGAGCCATGCTCCAACGCACGCAAGAAGTCAATTTCAAGCAACCTTGCAGCAGCGCCTGCGAGTTTTTTTTTTGTCCTTGTCGCGCAGTTGTTTATATTTTGCTTCCAGCGAATGCTTTCCCTAAGGGAAGCATCGGAAATCGAACGCCGTCGAGCTCATCTGTTCATTCGCCGAAACTCTGCACAAGAGGTCTTCTTCATTGGGAGGTGTCGGGAAATAACTTTGGATGACCACCCTTCAGTTGTTGGTGGATAAATCCTAGGACTTGCGAGCCAGGGATCACCTAAATGGGGTGATCATCCAAGTCACCCACTCTCGAACCGGGAGCCGAGCGGTCGCCCAGTTTTTGGACACTCCCTGCTTCAATCAGGGAGTATCGCTGAACAGACGAATCTCGGGCGCTCAATTGGGAGAGACCATTGGGCAAGCTGCACTCACAGTCGCACTCGGGTTTCATTCGCAATGGGCAAAGCTGTCCTGGGTTGGTGATCGACCGCCAAAAATCGCTCAGTTTTTGATAGTTAGTTGACACAGCCACTTTTAGACATGTTAGCTGATTAACTCCCTTCCTGAGTGGATCGGCCAACACAAATCGAACTTTAGTGATTTACCACTTAAAAATGGGCTTCCAAAAAGTGACTAAAGCCCGAAATAGAACAAAACGGGAGCGACATAAACTCGATTGCTTTCTGCTCCCCTGCAGAAAAATTAAACTTTTAGTGGTTTAGTGGTAAACCCATTAGTTGGCAACAAGTTGTTCAGTCCTAACATCCCTTGGCAAAATGCAGCAAAGTAAAGGTACCAAAGAGCAAAGTGTCTCGACCACCTGGAAACTCGGTGGCTCGATGATGGATGAAATCCTGGGAGCCGTCATCTCGACCTGCACCTAGGCGCAAATGGCCCCTGAACATGAAATTTCAACCCACTTTCTACCTGTCAATCTCACCTGGCTGCTCAAACTGGTTTGACCCAATCCTTAATGCTGTCAAGACACCCTCAACGGTTTTGAAGAGCAAAGGCTTCAGAAACCACTTCCGAGTGGGTTTGTGCCAGTCTAGTTGTTTCCCCACCACACTGGTAAGTCGAATTCCGCAAAAAACAAGACAAACAAACATGGACACCACGGCGCATTGTGTGTGTCGATGATGGGCTCGATGTTCGCCGAAGTGGACATCTGCGGGTTGAAAAAAGTCTCGATGCGTGCCAGGCGATGGCTCAAGAGCTCAAAGGATTGGCGCTGCTCTCCTGCAGTCGGACCAGGGGTTTTCCGAGGTCCTCCAGTAAGGGTACCAACTTTTTTCCTTTTAGTAGGGGAACCCTCCCCCAAAAAACAGTGGGTAAAAGGGCACTACTGGGGGACCCGAGTCCAGATTTGAAACCTAGCTGGGGGACCTAGCTTTCCTGGTACCGGTATGGCTACCAGGTTTGAAACCATGGGAGAACCTATGGTGGCTTTGCCTGGAAGGACTGGGTTCGACAGGACCAGCACCTAAGAACCAGCACGATTCCATCTGGAGGGATTCAGGATTGACTTTGAACGCAGGTTCGTGGTTTCCCCGAGAGGCTAAGGGAGAATTGGCTGGGCCCGTGGGTATTGTGGGAATTTCAGTATGCCCTCCACACGAACAGTCGACTACCCAGTATTTTGTCAGTTGCTCATTTGTAAAGAAGCCCACAAGAAGAGTTGCAAACGTGACAAAAAACCAGCGGACAAAGAAACCAAGAAACACTGCTTGAAAACGAGGTATACTCTATGACCGAGAAAAAACAACTGAATATGGGTCAAATCAAACCACCAGCGGACAGCGTACTAGTCCTTGGTTCCATTCACCAGGGTTCCTTTTTTTGACCCGCCGCCACCTGACTTCCCATCCACACGCAAACAGGGACCTCCGAGCCCTTCCATGTTCTGAACTGCCCCGAGCATTTCAGGTTCCATGGTTGCATGAAGCGTACGAGTGGCTTTGCGTAGCCAGGGGTTCTCGACATTTCCTGGCTGTCCGCTTTTCTGATCTGCTCAAAGTGAAGCTCGTGGAGGCTGGGGAGGAAGGAGAGGAGGGGAGGGGGAGGGGAGGGGGAGGGGAGGAGGAGGGGGAGGGGAGGGGAGGGGGAGGGGAGGGGGAGGGGGAGGGGGAGCCCAAATAAGCTCGGAATACGGCCTTATTAAGGGCTGAACATAAGAGCGTATTTGGGTTTCTTGCCCCTCCCCCTCCCCCGCAGCCCCCCTGAGAAGCTACCTTTTCGTGGCTGAAATACGGAAAACCTACCACTAAACCACCCCGAAGTAAAAGCATCTAACAACCTAAGTTGAAACGGACGATTCGCTGGGGCTCCCACCAAGACCTTCTTTTCTTCTTTTCCCCGCAAACATCTGCCTGCACTTCCTGAGTGGATTGGTGAAAAACCACCATCAAACTTTGTGTTTATAACTACAATGACAACCAACCCACACAGTTTTTTACGCGATTGGCAAGCAAAAAGTCACCAAGCTTTGTGTTAACCACTAAACATGGCAACCAAACCCACAAAATCCTTAAAGTGAAACATCCGCCCGCACCTCCTGAGTGGATTGGTGAAACAAAACCACACTTTTTGTTTACCACTACAATGACAACCGACCCAAACACTTTTCTTAATGCGATTGGCAAACAAAAACACCACTGGCAACCAAACCCACACAGCTGTTTTTCAAGTGCGGGAACTCGACCAACCCAACAATGATAACCAACCCAAACAGTTGTTTAAGTGCGATTGGCCAAAAAGAGGTCACCACACTTTGTGTCTACCACCACAAATTGCAACCAAACCCACAAAGTGTTGAAAGTGAAAAGCACCCAACTTTTTGTTTATCACTACAACGACAACCAACCCAAACCGTTTATTTTTTTAACCTACCACTACAATGACAACCAACCCAAGCAGCTTTTTGTGCGACTGGCCAAAAAAGTCACCACTACAACCAAACACTGGCAACCAAACCCACAGAGTTTTTTTTCAAGTGGGAAACTCAACCAACCCAAACAATGATAACCAACCCACACAGGTTGTTGAGTGTGATTGGCAAAACATGTTACCAAACTTTGTGTTTACCACCAACCATGGCAACCAACCCAAACAACTTTTGAAATATCTAAAGTACGGAAACTCGATCGGGAGTGAGAAACCCATAACGCGCTAAAAGTGCGGGAACTCCATCGGGAGTGAGCGCACGCCGGCGTTTTCCGGCCGGGTCTCGGTTCATCAAGTGGGTGGTGAACATCACCGTCTGGAGGTCGATGCTGGTGGCTGCGCCCTTCATCCGCACGCAGGCGTTGGCGAAGGTGGTTGCCTTACGTGGCCCCGGGGGGGGGGGGGGGTCGGAGTTTACGATAAAAATGGTGAGTTTTTTTCCCATCATGTACACCTGTATATATATATATATATGTATGTATGTATATATGCATATGTATATGTATATATGTATATGTATATAGTGGATGTATAGTGGATGTATAGTGGTTGTATGATGGTCTCCCAGAGGAAACTGGGGTATAGCCTCGATAGATATATATATATATACATGTAATGGTGGCTGTATGGTGGTTGTATATCCTGTAAAGATGGTTTCCACTACCCCCCAAACCACAATTCCCAGCAGAGCTTGGGCTTAACCATTAGTACATGTACATATTCATATATTATAGTGGCTGTATAGTGGTTGTTTTTCTTATAGCACCCCTGAGTCCTGGTAGCTTCGGCTTTGGCAGTGGAAACCATGTGAGACTAAGGTTGCGGCCAGGGCAATCCGCAAAGTGGCACAGCTTGGGGCCGTTTTATGTCGCCACGGAAAACGGCGATGCTTTTTCATCTTCATAACCCTTGGTATGATAGCAAACAGCTTTGCTTTGTCGCAGCCCCCTACCAAAATAAACAGAACCCACCGACAAGAAAACAACAACAACTTGCCAAGAACAGTGCGAAGCCATGGATGAAGCACCCTCAACCATGGTTGGATCTAAATTCCAATGCACATGTCCACAAAATGCATCGTCAAGTTCGGATTTCTTGTACGAGCTCAATCACTGGCCGAAAAGACGGGTCTGCACCTACCTCAGCTTTTGTCCCGAATCAACATGCTTTGATCCTGGCAACTACTAAACACAACAAACGGGTGTGTGTGTGTGTGTGTCTCTGACGTACGTGTTGATCCCGCGGGAACTTCCTTGGGGGGTTCGAACTACTTGCATCCCTGGGCTGTTTTCAGATCCGCTAAAATGGAAACCCAACCAAGAAACCAACTATAAACCTAAAGACATACTGTGGATGGACGAAATCCTGCACCACCTCAGGAACCTGGAATGATCTCTTTCCCTGCAAATACCAACAAACAATGGGTTCAACCATGGTTTCAAAGTGGTGCGAAATGGAATTCGCAACCATCCACAGTAAGGGGACGAACCAACATCCAAAGAGGCCCCTAGTAGCACGTCTCGCCTTATGCACTCGCTGCTTCACTTGCAGAAAAAAAAAAAAAAAAACGAAAAACGGGGTACCCTCGAGTTTTAAGGGACCCCCAGAAACCCACATATGGCCGTGGCTCAAAAAAGCCGGTATTCCAAAATGGGTTGCCCTGGTAAGTGGAAACATGGACCAAAACCTGCGGTTTGCCCCTCCTGTTTAATTATTAAATTTTGAGCCACAGCCATATGGAAAACTCAGCCCGAAGGACCCACACACAGTTCAACCTTTTGGAACCTCGACGGATGGACCAAAGCAGGCAAACCAAATGGGAAGCTTGATTCGCTTTGATTCACTGAGCAAAATACCGGTCTGGGAACTCATACCCAACGTGGGTCCCAACCTGGGTGCGTCTTTTAGCCTCGGTATCAAATTGTTGCGGTAAAGGGAAACTACGAGTTGGAAAACCGAAACCAGGTCCGAATCCTAAAAAAGACACCCCCAAATGAAGGAACCCCACAAAGACAAAGAGCAAGGCTGGTAGGTCTCCCAAAATGGTGGATCCCTGTCGTTGTTTGGCGGGATCCTAAGAAAGACACACCTTCCAATTTGTCGAAACGCACCTTCCATTTGCTTTTTTGCCCCCTGGACAAAAATGAGAACCCATTTCCAGTATTGAAATCAAAACTCTTTTAAACCGATCGGGGGAATATCAAATATCTCACTTCCTTCTAGGGGTACCTTCAGCATTCTTTCCAGGGATCCTTCTTTCTAGACAACTTCAAGAAACCCAGTGAAAATGACCGGTTTTTGAACGAAAGATGGTTGAAAATTGGGAATCAACCCCTAGATTCCTGGGTGGAGTTGTCAGAAGAAGTCCAAACTCCTCAAATGGTCCCAATCCCCAAAAGGACTAAAGTCCGAAACGGAACTCAAAAAGTTAGATAATGTTGACCCCATATTCATCACCCAACCAGTTCATTAATGGGGGGGTGTATCAGGGTGAAATCACTTTTGGAGGGGAACCCCCCTATTCATACACTGGGGTTGATTAATATGGGATTCTCCAGCAAATGGAAGCGACTCACCGACTCGCCGAACTTCGATTTGCTAGGTCCTCCAGATTTGAGAGGTTAGAAAAAGGGTGCCCATTCTCATCCCTTTTTTGGTTGGGAGGGTTCCCCTACTAAAATAGACTACATCATAAGAAAATCCATTTCGCACCACCTAAACAACCCTGGTGTCTGATGATTCTCCTGCAAATGCCCAAAAAAAAACAACGGTTTCAACCAAGGTTTTTCTTAGGTGCGACATGGATTTCGATTTCAACCATCCACCGTCGTTTGGTCGTTCAAGACCTGGCTGCATCGATGGTGGTCTCCCCTTGGAGCTCCACGAGCATCCGGAAGAAGGTCTCCGCGTTCTTGATATCGATGCCCCGGCTCTGGAGGTACGACCTGCCGCTTCCTTTTGCCCGGACCGGTCCTCCTTTTTTTCCCGCGCAAAAATGCATTTTTGCTTTGCGGCCGGACCGCTCGTCCTCCATTATTGTTTCTCCCCCGGCGCAAACAAATGCATGCTTTTTTTCGCGGCTCAAAAAAAAACGGAAGTCCAAAATGGGTTGCCCTGCGGAAACATGGACCAAAACCTGCGGTTTGCCCCGCCGGTTTCATTTTGAGCCACACCCACATGTTTCCAGGGAAGTACTGGTGGCTCGTCCAATTCCTCTACTCCAAACGCCTTTGCTTTTCTTCTGAAAAAACGAACAGTTGTCCAGCGCAAATACAGCACCTCCTGTTTTAGTAGGTTGACATGATACCCTAGAAAAGCAGGGATTTGGAGTAGGGGGAGTCTTTTTCTGAACTTGGACCTCGCCGCCAAAAACAAAACATGGGTGAACATGGGCGGGTGTTTTTTTGGTTTCCCCATGCAAGAAACACGTCAAAAGGGGGTGCATGGTGCTTAAAAACGAGCCGTCAAAAAGAGGGCACCAGCTTGAAAGAAGACACACCCGATTCTTGGCGTGAGGCTTTTTGTGGGAAAGATGGGCCAAGTCTAAACCATGGGTAAACCCATTCAAACATGCTTTGTTTGGTTCCCCCTCTACTTGGCACACGTCCGTGGTACACAGGAAAAAGTATTTTCCGAGTCTGTTTCATATTTAGTCTAATATAAAATACAATAGTTTTGGAGGAAGCCACAGCTTTGGGCGTCGGCCTTTTTGAGGCTCGGTGTCCCTTTTGGGATGTTTTCAATTGAAGCCAAAACGACCAGTTGGGGGGCAACTCCAATCTTTAGACACACCCATTTTTCATGGACCAAGAGGGACTATAGGCTATAGGGCGTCCATCGGGGCTAACCAAAAAACCCACAGATCGAGCCAAAGCAAGCAAGCAATGAGTTTCTCCATTCCCCAACGCAAAAACTCACCCAGCTTTGGGTTTGCCAACCAACCCACAATTTGGGTTCCTCCCCAAGCAAAACACACCCAACGTTGATACTCCCAGAAACGCGCACAAAACCGTAGATTGTAGAAGAATCTGCCTTTGGGTCCACTTCCTTATTGGGGTGCGCTTCAAACAAAAAGAAGTAATTTTCCATTGCAGCTTCTCTTGAATTGGTGGTTTGGTGGTTGGGGGCTTGCTTCCCATTTACCCTCCACAAGAACCATCCAATCCAAACCACCAACTAAGGGTTATCTGACCATTTGCTTACGTCCACTGGACAAAACTGTAGTAGCGCCAGTCCTTTAAAACCAACGGAAATGAAACCTATTCTAAAGCAAATTGAAGTAGTGAGACAGGGCCCTGGGAAACACCATCGTAAATCATTTGTTTGCGCTTGAATATTTCTTTACTCGCCTGCCCAAAGAGCCTGGCTATCATTTCTTGGCTGCTGTTGACCCCTCTGCAAAAAGTAGAACACTTTTTTTGTCCAAGCTGTTTCAACCAAAGAAGTAAAAGTATGTAAAAGTCCAAAGATCCGCTACCAATAGCCATAAAGGGAAAAGGATCGATTATGGATCACCCCGCCCCTTTCCTGCGGTGTTCTGTTTAAGCCATGGACTTGGGGGGTGGCTTTTTATGTTTCCCCCGCATCCCCCAACCAAGAAACAACAACAGATACTGATATTTGTGGGGGGGGGGAGGGGGTCTGAAACCCAACCAACAAACCACCCAACAACAAAAACAAACACACCAACCAAACAACCAAAACACCCACCAACCAGAAACAAACACCCAAAAAACGACCCCCCCCCCAAAAAAAAGAAGAACACAACAAAAACAAATAGATTAAACAAAAAAACACCACCCCCCCGCCAGAAAACCAAAACAAAGGGGGGGAAACAAAAAAAACACGAAAGTGGGGCCCGCCGGGCCTGAACTCGTAGGTCTCCACCAAGGTTCGGAACTCCGACAGCCCCAAACGCTCCATGCCCTCGGCCCGTGTCTTGCTCTTGAAGAGCTTCGTCAGCATCCTCGGCCGTTTTTTTCGGGGTCCGGACGCGCTCGTGTCGTGGCTTTTTTTTCTTTGGGGGGCAAACCGAAGATGTGTTTTTTGCTTGGCAACAATGAAGGTCGTGTTTTTTTTTTGTAAAACGGAGCAAACCCTCGGGTAGTTGGACGCGTCTCGTTTGTTTAATGGCAAACTGAAGCTACAAGGCACCCTCCAGGCATAGGTGGCCTTTTGGAAAAATAGATGGCCCTGGTAAATGGAATAAACCCCATCTAAACCAGGGCCCTCTATTTTGTAAGCAAACCAACCAAAAAGGACACCTATGCCTCCAGGTTTTTCATGGTAGTACGGTGTCTGTTTCTGTAGGGATTTCGGACGACCCGAACAGTCGGATACGAGCCGTCGGCAGGTGACATGCTCAATTCAGCCACTTTCATGGGTGGGGGGAGGGGGAGGTAGAGGTGTGTCCTTTCCCGCAAGTTCTGCCGGTTTTTTTTGGGCCTTCGGCGGGGACGCAGGCCGTCTGACTTTTTTGCAAGCCAGGAGAGGTTCTTGTCTGCCTAGGAGGTTCTTAGGAGCTCACTTGCAACCAGTTGCAGAGACCGAGAAATGGAATGAACTCAAACTAAACCACCCAACTGGTGGTTTCCTTCCGGAACCCCCCAAACCGTTGATTTCCAAACCCTGGGGTCATTCCCTACTGAGGACCCGCAAGTTTTCTCACTTGACCAGAAATACCCTCCCACTTTTCACAATGGAACACGAAAAGCAGTTGGGTGTGTCTTTTTAAGACGCCTCCCAACTGTTGGTTTCCCTTTAAAAGCAACCCAAAAAGAGGGGCTACCGTCAAAAAAGACATCTGCATTGGGGTTGTTTCTCCAGCTTTTCCCAATGGTTTCCCCAACAAAGTTCCCTGTCGCACACAAAACCGGGGCCCAGAATCCTTCATTCGCCATGCAACTCCGCTGGAGGCCGGGCACAGTTTGCCCAACACCCTAGACCCCGCCAAAACCAACATGAGGCTATCGGCTGTTTTCAGACCCCACGAAAAAGGGCACACAGATTTGATATGTTCGGTTTCTGCTCTGCATTTGGCCCACTTCAAGATGTTAAATAGGTTAGGAAGAACAAGACTAGATGCTTGAACGCGGAAAGCCGAAACCAAACGAGCTTCGACAACCCGCACCTGGGTCTGACCGCCAAGTAAACCCGAGTTTTGATCGCTCAATCAGCGGTCCCTATGTTTCCTCCTTAAATATCACTCCAACAAGAAACTTGACCCACAAGGCATCTATCTTGGAAACCAGCCTACGAGACATCAAAACGTAGAAACCCACAGCCTGAGTCCATGGGTTTGACCCTGGTAGCCGGTTGCTTCTCCAAGGTTCCTTTCAAGCTTCTCCTTTCAAACACCATTGCCAAGAAGGGTTCCTTCCCAACCCCAAACAAGCAGAACCAAAGAAAAAACAACCACCCAAATGTTGACCGCAAGCTGAAACCGACCCCAACAAAGTGGGTGAGAAAAGGCACCAATCGCTGGGGGACCTAATGATTAATAAACCCCTGGTTGATTAATAGGGGGGTGTCCCCTTGTAGTGGGGATTCATCACGTTTGGAGGGAACACCCCCCTAATAATGGGACGGGTCTACTTAGATCCTGGGTCAGCATTCGTCGAGTTCTGCTTCAATCCTTCGCCGAGGCGCTTCCAATCCTGGGCATCTTGCAGCTGATGCTCCACGATCACCATGTCGGCGTCCGGCAGCGCCAACTTCAGGGCCTCGTGGGTCGAAGTGGGTCCAACCAAGGGCCATGGGTCAAAACCCAAATCGGTTAGCCCCCAGTGAACGGGACCCAGCCACTGAGATAGATATGATAGACTAAAATGGGTGGTGAATTCACCTACCCCAAAATGGGATCCCATTGGTTTTGACCCACAGCCAAATGTCATGGCTGAAAGGGAGGGAGGGGAGGGGGAGGGAGCCCAAACAAGCCCTTGTTTGGGCTCCCTCCCCTCCCTCCCCAGCCCCCACGAAAATGCCTTTTGACACCCCTGAATTTGGCGGTTCAACCGCCGACTTGTGCTCCAAAAAAAACTCCCCGCTTCGATGCACATTTGGAGCCCCCTGACTCCAACCAACAGCAAGACCAAGAGGGACCGTATCCAAATTTGCTTGGACAAATTGGATACAGTTGCTTGGATTACAAAAAGGGATACCAAGAAAGACCAACCTGATGTTGCCAATTGACGTGAAGCGAAACACCTCAAAACACGGAGCCGGCCGGATCACTTGTCTCCTCAAAAACACGCACGTGCTCTAAATGGGTGTGCGTTCGTGCTTACTCTTTCCAGGTTAGGGACACCAAAGAGGTATCCTGCCACTTGCGGTCCAATTTGCACGATTTCGGCAATCCAATGAAACAGGTGTTGCTTCACCCGTGCGCCCCTTCCATTTTTTGACCCAGACTTAAACCACGGAACTGGCGCAATCAACTGTGGGGTCCGAAAGAGGATTTCTAACATACTGACTCGTCTCAGCACCCTTACCAACACCCCAGCCCCTGCAGCACCAACCTGTTCCGCACTCAAAACCGCCTGCCCCTCACTTTGTCTCACTTCCTAAAAGGCTCTTCCCAAATAGTTTAAAGTCCACGAGCTCAAGAGTTAGGGCTTTCAGCTAGACTCAGACCAAACCCGCACTCCACTTTCGACCCCCTTTTGAGCACGTGTTGCAGCCCAGTCGACGTGTCCCCGCTTTTTCATGAAAAGGGTTCTGGATGAAAAGCAAACACTGAAATGGATGAAACGCATCTTCACCAAACCAAGCTCGTTTGAGTTTAACCAACTTGGTATCGTTTCGACCCTTTGGCTTGCTTTTTCTTCGAAGGGAACTCGCTTTCCCTTCAGAGATACCAGCACCAATTTGGCCATGGGTCAAAACCCAGATCGTATTTGCAGTAACATCCCAATCCCCACGAAAATAGGTTCGAAAATGGGTGGTGCACCTAATTGCCCCAAAATGGGATCCCATGGGTTTTGACAGCCATATCATTCTTTTTCTGCCCAAAGGTACTTTGGTCATTGCTTTCGGGATCCAAGAACCTCAACCATAGGTCCCATTGCTTCAGCTCGTCCAGTGAACCCCGGGCGCCTTCTCCACGAAGATGCTGGTGACCTGCAAGCCCGGATGAACGTCGCAACTTCTCTTTCTGGTGGAAACCCCAACTTCATGTGTTGAAAAAGCCGGCCATGTCTCAACTGGCCAAAAAAACACGGGGATTTCTTTTAAGGAGCCCTGGCTTACACTCGCTGCTGTCCAAAAAGCCGAGGTTTTTCTGGGCGGGACCCGTTTTCTCCGATCCCCTGCTGAGGGCTTTTGTTTCCGACCGTAGCGACCTGCCGAAAAGTGGACCACTCCTTTTGGGGGTTTTCTGAGTGGAAAACGCCGTTGTCTCCCGAAAAATGCTTACTTTTTGGGGGGTCAGGTGGAAAAGAAATAAAGTTGAAGTCCCCAAAAGTTGAAGTCTAAAGATCCGTTGCCCAGCAGTTAAGGAACACCCGAAGGGCAACAATTATACTCACTGGGACCTGGAAATTAGAGGTGATCACCTTTCCCCAAAAGTTAAAGTCTAAAGATCCGACCCAATAGCAGCCAAGGCTAAGAGAGACGATCACTTTTAGTGGGTTAAATGGATACCACTAAACCAACTAAAGACAACTAAAGACAACTAAAAACCTAAGGAACCGGACGGTTCGCTGGGACTTGCGACCCATAGCCGCCCTAGAGGTCCATGAGTTTGAAACGCATTAAACACGAACACCCACCCCCGAACGATAGGAACACATGGTGTGTCGAATGGACCTTGGTGTGTTTATTGCTTGTTTTTGCTCCCTGAGAAGTCAAAGGACTTTGTCTTCAAATGATCCTCTCAAAAGGGTGTTATTCTTTAAAAGGGTATTGGTGCGCGCCATGTCGCGACTCCAGGAATTCAGGGAGTGAATGGCCATCCCTTGGCGGACTGTCAAGATGAATAGTCTTAAATGATTGACCCAGAACCGTGTAAGGAAATACCAAGGCGGATATCCGCAACTTTTTATGGCTGGGATCGTCCCTTCTTCATCTACCCAGGTTCTGATTGTGCCTCATTTGGATATCCCACTTGGAAGGCTGGCAGCATTCCAGGGCCCCCTTGCTTGCGAGGCCGTTAGACCCGAGCCAGTCCCCAGCAACACACGCAAAGGAGCAGCGGCCAAGATTTATGGACTTCGGGGTCTACGTGGTCGTAGGGACTCCCATTTTCCCGACCAAACCACCTATTAAACGTATTAAAATGGCCAATGCTGCTATGCAGATACACAGAAACCACACAACTACCGCACACACACACAGCACCAGCCCCAGCAGCAAACGGCCATCGCAACAGCACGCAACGACTACCAACAAAAGGCAGAACAAGCAAACACACACACACACACAAAACAAGAACAACACACATCACTGAACAAGCGTCGGGCGGCGATATGAGGACTAGGACCTGTGGTTCCGAGCGATACAAGTCCAACGGTCCCAACAACAAACAACGTCACAAAACCGACACCGCCCGCAACCCCACAGCAACACCAACAACACCATCCACAACGTCCGTCACCAGCACCAACTTCACCACCCAGAACACCCACCAGCAACACCACCACCCAGAACACACAGCACCAACAGCACCCACAAGTAACCAGCAAGACATTGACGAATAACCACCAGCAACACCACCCACCACCAACCAGCAACTCGGATGCCCGGTGCATTTCCCATGGGGGAAACAAAACACAAGAATCGGCCTCCGTTTTTTGGTTGGTGGAGTTTCAAGGAATCGGAACCCTTCCTTCCCCAAAAAAAAGTTGAAGAAAGGGAACGGACTCCACAGGTTGCAACTGGGGCAAGTTGCCCGACGAACCTCGGATTAAATCCCAGCGCCAACTCCACCCAGCACACCCACCAGCAACACCACCACCCACAACCAGCAAGAACCTGAGGATCAAATCCGTGGCGCGATGTTCCAAACGGAGATGAAGACGAAGGCCACGTATGCCAAGAAGGCGCTGGGCAACACGAGTCCGGTGTAGGTGAGAGCTTGGTAAGGCTCGTTCCAGTCCACGCCGGAAGTAGAGGCTTGGAAGAGTGTCACCATCCTCGGGTTTTTGTCGCCCTCAATGGCTATGCAGTGGCTACGAAGTTTCCTTCAACTCTTGGGGGGGGAATGATTTGGGACAGTGGAAGCTATCTTAGATATTTTGTTTTGTTCTCTTGCACGGCTGACATGTGCTCACTTCCGATCGAGTAGATTGGCCAAGAAAAGTCCAAACTTTTTTGATTACCAAGATGGTCCAGACCCAAAAAGTAGAAAGTTTAAGAACTCAGGAAGTGAGGAAATGTGTAGGCCTTATCTACACCGTTCTTTGTCCAAAGTCAACGGGTCCCTAAGCCCTCTGCTCTGAGGCCCGGTATGAACCATTGGTTGACTATGTTGATTAAACAGGGGCAAGATGGTTGTGAAAAAGAAGCCCCGACCTCCTCTTAGTTCTCCCTTTAAAGGGTAGCCTCAAAAAGACAATCCGAAAAAAACAAATTCCGGGTTGCCGCATTTCTTGGGACAGTGTGGGCCCTGCAAGTTGGCGTCTCCAATCCCCCGCATAGCCTACGTACAAAGGACACCAGGGGCAACGTCCCCGTTTTTCCAGAGATCCTTCTGCTCAGGAGACCACTTCTCACCCAGGCGATCCGCAGATGACACTCAAAGAGATGATGGTCAAAGGCCAAAGCCTTCCTTCCTATAGCCTGGCAATGGCTTTCTTAGGTGGGTGTTGCACAATGGAACCCCAAGTTTGGAAGGTGTCAAGGAGACTCCTTGGAACATGTCTTGGTCATTTTTCTTAGGTTTTAAAAAGCGTGTTGTTCCAGAGTTGTTTACCAAAAAATGGGTGGATCCTCCGCAGTATGTTGAACCAGTTAATTTCAATACAAGCTGTTGATCCTCCTAGCTTGCTAGATCACCATGTGCTTCTAGAACTCCCTGTAACTCCCCGGCTCCTCTTTTAGCCCAAATCTGGAGACCCCCTGCTCTGGAAGGGCTCCCTTGCAACCACCTGTTGATCCATTTTTTGTGAGGGTTGGTGCTGGGTTTACTTGCCCTGCATTGTTCCTTGTCATCCACCGTAGCAGCAAAGAAAACTGCCACATGCTACGGACCCATCCCCGACAACCAGGACCCGGAAATCAATTTGCTTCGCCTTTTGTGGGACTCATTAAGTGGTCGCGGCTTGGCCATGGCTCTCCGAATGAACGAAGATGTGGAGAAAACTGTGGTTGTGACGTCTCTTTGCCGTCCTCCATTTGCTTCCGAGCCCTCGCAAAAAAAAGCAACATATCCCGTAGTGACATCTTCCCTTTGAAACCAGCAGCGGGAAATCACAAATATTCTTAAGCAAATGGAAGCAGTGGATTCAGCTTGTCATACAGCGCCAAATGTCCACAACTGATATAGGACAATTCCCACATTTCCCTGCCACAACCTCAAGAACATGAACCCAGTGCAAAGCGTGGTTTATCCAGTCTTCCCTCAAAAAGGGTGGTTTGGAGCCGAATCGGTGCTTTGGTGGCTGGGGGGGTTGGGTTTCCCATTTGCACTCTACAAACACCAAGGGTCACCAATGGCAGCCCCTATGGAATTTTGAGCCACCTATGGCTTCAAGAGGAACAGGCCCTGAAAGGGGCCGAAGCATGCAATGGTCCCACCTTCCAAAACCCTCTATGCAATTGGGTCTGTGCTTTTGAGATGGAACCCCTGTTTACTTGGTTTCCCTGAAGCACAACGGCTTTAAACGGGTACCCGTTAAGATCTGTCGAAGCAGGTTCACCATTTTGACATGTCTGGGATCCATTGTTCTCAATTGTGGGGAATTCCTCCATTGCTTACAGAATCTAAGTTGGGCTGCCATTCTTTCAACCTCCATTTGCTCAAGTCCCCTGGAAAAAAGGCATATTTCCTATTTCTTTCAGCAAGCGGCAGCTTGGGATGCAGCACATCGATTGGTTTAGCCTCAAGCACCCAGAAGAAGGGCGTTGTGTCCCACCCTCTACAGAAGCCAGGGGTTCAATTCCCCAAACCAATCCAAACCACCGATTCGAGGAAGCTAACGTTGGCTTGCCAGGAGAAACATGGCTGTGGGTCAAAAATAGGTACCCAAAATGGAACCCTGGTAAATGGAAACATGGACTGGTGGTTTTATTTTGGCGCATTCCCACATGGGAAGCCCAAGTTCAGGGATGCAGTTCGAATCGCTCCCTTAGAAAGCCGAGACGCGTGGTGAACACCGAGCCGAAGTAGGTCATCATCTGGCTGACGTCTGCGTCCGTGTTACGCACTTCGGTGAGATGCGCCACGATGCCCTGCTGCAAAAGCAGCGCAAAGACGTACATCCTGAGGGTGACTGCTTGAAGAGAGAGCGATTCTTGATTTACCCGTTTCTTTTTTCTCTAGACATGGCTGTGGGTCAAAAAAATGTACCCAAAATGGAACCCTGGCAAATGGAAACTTGGACTGCAACCTGCGGTCCACTGGTGGTTTAATGTTGACCCACACGTTGGGGTTTCTCGAAATAGGGGACCTGGACCCTGTTTGGACGGTTTCAATGGGAAACCAAAAGGATACCACCCTGCAGAAGTCCCCAATTTTGCCGGGCACAGAAGGACAACCAACGGAAGCTAGCCTTTTTTGGGGGGATCCCCCAAAAAGTTGACACGCCCACATAAAGCAGGGATCCTTACATTATACACCTGAACATTGCGACTTGTAAATGCTGGTTTCCAACTTCATTTTGGTGTTGAAAAAGCCAGCCATGTTCCAACTGGTGGCAAAATGGAGATCTTTTTTTTGGAGCCCACACTCAAAACCAACTGCCCTCATGGCACACAGCAACCGTCTCGTGGCTTCCTTTTGACTTCGAGGGCGTCGAGGCCCGGAAAACGCCGGCGGAGCTGAAAACACAAGGCCCGGTTCAGGTGAGAAGGGTGTGAATTGTAATAAGGGACCTTTTGGTGGACATCATTTAATGTGGGGATTCATGTCCACCAATCACTTTTGAGGTTCCCAATGAAAAATCAGGCGAGAAGGGAAACGGTAGAGTCGTCTTTGGGCTGGACGCGAAAGGAAGAACCTGGGGACAGGCTTAATGGACAACTGCCATTCAGAATTGTCAGAACTAGGTCCGCCAGTAGAGAGTAGGGTACCCACTTTTTTCTGTAGTCTAATTTAGTAGGGGAACCAAAACCCCCCCAAAAAAGAAACGTCAAAAGGGAACTACTAGGGGACCTAGATAAACTTTCTGCTAAGCGTCACAAAGACCAGCATGATGACGCACCACATGACGTTCATCAGGGAGCCCAGCACGCAATCCAGCATCAAGCGGAGCTCACCTCAGACTGTCAGCGCTGTCAGTTTTGTTTTTTTAAAGCAAAAATGACTTGGCTATGGGTCAAAACCCCGTATTGCCAGTGAACATCCCAATCCCCACTAAAATAGACTAAAATGGGTGGTGCACCTACCCCAAAATGGTACCATTGATGTTGACCCACGGCCACTTAGAACAGGGCATGGCGTAGTTCCCTATACCTTCTTTGGCTTACAATGCCTTGCCAGTTTCTGGCTGACATCAGAACCTGCATGTTTGCTCGCCTTCCTTGATACAACAAGCCTTTCCAAAGGACAAATCCGTCAAGATTGCGTGGCCGAAAAGCCCGGCCTCATTCCTGCAGCAAAGATTCCAAGCCTTTTCGAAGTTCGTTTTCGGTGAACGCCTTGGGGGTTTGAAGGCTACAAGTTGCTGGGCCCCAATGTCTCACCCGGTAGACTGATCTCATGGGCTCATGGAGTGGCCAAGCAGCTGCAAATCCCTGAAAAACGCCTTCCGCAAAAACCCTTGCGGCATTGGCCCCCCTTCGCGGAGCTGTTTTTTTGTTTTTTTGGGGGGTGAGAAACTGGGTGGTTCCCAGCGAATGGTCCGGTGCAACTTAGGTTGCTATAGCATTTTAGTCGGTTTAGTGGTTGGTTTTGAAAAACATAGTTTGCTTCGTGTAATCTAGTTGTTTGTAATGGATGTATGTATATATATATATATATATATGTCTGGTGGATCCTTCCGACGGTTAGAAAATGGGGTCATTGCTTAAATAAACCACCTTACAACCTTCAGCCACTTGAAGACCACGCCGTGGTTCCCAGCGAATCGTCCGGTTCCAGTTAAAGGTGTTTAGAGGTTTTTAGTTGATTTAGTGGTTGGGTTTCCGCATTTCACCCACAAATGAAACTTTTGGCAGGCAAGTTGAGTTGGCAAGCACTGCTAGGTCCCCCAGTAGTGCTTTTTTAGCCTTTTTGGGGGAGCGTTCCCCTATTAAAATAGACTACAGAAAAAAGTTGGTACCCTTATTCTAACCTCTCGACCGCAGGACCCAGGCCAGCTTGTGCAGTCAACTTTGGCCACGCCCAAGGCTCGCTGAGTTCTCCATCATGTCGCTGTTCAAATGAGCCACAATCAAAACCCGGGTAGATGAAGGTTAGTAAAGGCAAGTCCCAGCCGGAAATAGTTGCGGATATCCGCCTTTTCAAATCCGTACATGGTTCTGGGCCGCATTAAATGCCCATGGGTCAAAAGCCCGTACCCCCAGTGAACATCCCACTCCCCACTAAACCAGACTCAAATGGGTGGAGAATTCACCTACCCCAAAATGGGATCCCATTGGCTTTGGGCCAGCCATTTTGGTACCAGGTTTTGATTCCCCGCGAAGGTCCCCGTCTGTTCGGCTCAGGGGCTGAAGAACTTCAGCGTGCGAAAGACCCGGAGGATCTTCACGATCCGGCACAAGCGCACCAGGCGCAGGAAGGCGAGGTTCACCCCGCTGCTGGCGGACTCCGTGGAAGCATCGTCTCGGCGCGCGGCGAAGGAAACCTAAGGAAACCTGTACGAAACCCATATAAAAGGGGAATCTGCAGCTTGGTTGCTCTTCACCCCCCTGCAAGAACTTTAACTTTTGGGGGGGTTTCGTGGAAAACACCTTGATTTCCACCAAAAAGCTAAAGTCCAAAGATCCAGCCCGAGAGCAGTCAAGGCAGGAAACCCTTAAAGAAACCCCGTGGAAACCGAAGGAACGCCCGCTTTTTTCAGGGTATTTTTGGGAGAGCCGCTCGGTTTCTCCGAGTAAAAGCTCCTCCTTTAGTACAGGGTCGACCTCATGCCCGAAGAAAGATGCGGGTCTTGGGTGTTGGGGGGGACTTCCATTTGGCTGAGGTGGTCAAAAATAGGGAAAAAACCCAGAATGGGTCGTCCTGGTGAAGGGAAACATGGACCAAGAAGTGGTTTGCAGGGGTGGAAAATCCCATCAACGCAAGGGAATGATTCGATTCACCAACGCCAATCCCAACAAACAAGGGCTTCCACCATGACTTCAAAGTGACGCAGGATTTCGTCCGTCCACAGTATCTAAGTAGACCCTAAGCCAACCCCAGAAGAGTCCCTTCTGTCATGAAAAGGAACCTACAACAACAAGGCCAGAACGCCGGGGAAAAACAGCTCCAACTTGTTTGGTTGCAACCAAAGGCAATCAGGGCTCTTTTGAAGGAGTTAGTCTTGGAGGTTTGAATGAGAGGAAAAACGCTTCCATGTGCCTAAGCCCACTGGACAAATGAGGAAGGATTTCCAGTGATAAGTTCCCTTTTGATTCCCACAGGGGGAACAAACAATCCAGCGAGCTTGGACCAAGAAGCAAAACCGAGTCATATCAACAGACTCTGCACAAAAACGATTGAACAATCCAGCGGAGGACGAAAGGGGGTCAAATCTGGCAGAAGGTCCTCCAGTAGAGAGGTAAAAAAAAGGTGCCTTTTTTGTCTGTAGTCTATTTTAGTAGGGGAAACCTCCCCAAAAAAGAGTTAGTTGGACAAAGGGCACTACTGGGGGACCTAGCCCATAGCTATAACTCAACCGAGTCATTTGAGAAGACTCAGTGGCACCCTCCCTCGGGGCTCCGGAAAATCGGATGCCACAAGCCAGCCATCGGAGCCCTCGATGTGTTTGGACGCCGAGCTTCTGAAGACGAGGAAGTTCAAGAGGTTCTCGAAGATTGAAAAGACCACCAGTATGAAGTCGAACCAATTCCAGCACCTGGTCATCATCATTGGTTGGTTGATGTTGGTTGGTTGATGTTGTTGATGTTGGTTGGTTGATGTTGGCTGGTTGGTTGATGTTGGCTGGTTGGTTGATGTTGGCTGGTTGGCTGGCTGGCTGGCTGGCTGGCTGGCTGGCTGGCTGGCTGGCTGGCTGGTTGGTTGGTTGGTTGGTAGGACAGGGCGACAGCCCCTCCACGGCTCACCTCCCTCCTGGCGGCACGCGGTCATCATCATCGTCATCGTCGTCATGCTTGATCGTGCTTGATCGCCGGTGGCACCATCCGTGCAAAACTATTGGACAATTGAACCAACGGACTTCCTTCGGTCCCTTTTCACCTTTCGGGGGGCGGTGCGTCCACCGAAACGGGGGAACCCCGCAAATTCGGGGGTGGGGGTCGCTTTGGGGCCCGTTGCCAAGGAATGATCAGTTCTAAACCACCCAGAGATTGTTTTAATCTCAAGCCCCGAACAAGCAAACTCCCATCCCGTTTCCGCATAGAACAAAATCCGGCATGGCTCCAAAAGCGAAGAGACCTCGCTCGCCAGAGACCGGTCGGTTTCAGCGGATCGCATCTTATGTTTGTTTTGGGCGGGGTACTTCCACTGGGGGTTTGTCTACCATGTCCTTCTGGAACTCCGAGCAGCTCCGAAAGGCTCCCTCAAGAAAGGCAAAGTTGGGATACCCCCAGCTCTCGTCCAGCTCGAAACAAAGAAGCCACCCCCAAAGGCTGACTTGCCCCAAGGGTCCCAGCAATATCCAGCAGCTAAAGGTTAACCTTTCGGGGCCATGACTAAACATGGCTAACATGGGCAAACCAAAAGGTCACTTTTCGATTCGGTCGATCCGGTTGGGGAAAAATGAGCACGGACGCCGGGGGTCGAAATGGGAAACTGGGCGCCGCTTTCGGAATCCAAGGCGCATCTCGCCGTTCCAAAAGAAGAAGAAACGATGTACTAAGAGCTTCAGGAAGAGCTCCTGAAGCTCCCCATTTCAGCATCTAAAGCCCGAGCTGACTTTTGGTTCTGACCAAACCCCGATGAAAGCAGGTAGAACCACCTACTAAATTGGTCAATGGTGGTTTGGGTGCTCATTTCGGTGTCTTTTTTGAGGCTCACCCGTTTTCCGTGGGTTTGTTTTAAAGGGAAACCAAAGGACATCACAAATCCAACTTTGGAGGGTAAATTAAAAACACACGTGGATCCCGATAACTCCCCCATAAAGGAGCCCAAATTTATGGGAAGTCCCGTTTCATGGGAAGTTTGAGGTCCTGGACCCATTTGGGTGCAAAGCTGTCCTGGACCTTGTGGACGTCACACAACGGCCACGTTTGAGGTTCCCAACTCTGAACCTTCGCCAGTTGAAGTTCCGACCCCGAGCTGACTTTCGTCAGAGCCGTTTTTCTCTTCAGGAGTTGCACCCCCAAACTGGGAGTAAACACGGGGTATTCTTTTCTGGGAACCGAGGGTTCAAATCCAAAGCCACAAGTCGAAAGCACCCAATGGTTACCTGGAGATTCATCTTTTGGAACCTCCTTTTAGTGATAAGTTTCCTTGCGGTGGGATGCTTGTCTTGCGTTGTTTCTTGTTTCTTGTCGGAACCCAAACTGCCCGAAGAAAAGCAACACCCAGGCGGATAGGGACGTTGAAACCCCACCCGCCAGAAAAAAGAAAACAATAACAACAACACGAAACCTAAGTTGCTTTTTGGAACTTGGAAACGATGTCCACGATTTGGCCTAGACTCAGTATGGCCATGGAGAAAGCCAGCCAGCCAGTAGTAAGGAGACAATACATGGGTCATGAAGGGGAAGTGCACGGAAATCGAGGCAACTTGGGGGGGAATGACGCTGCAATGCAAACGGGGAATACCAGGGAAACACAGAGGAAATGGAAGGGACCTGCAAGGGAAACGAACCGGAAATGAAGGGGGAATGAAGGGAAAACCAAGGGAAATGAAAGGCAATGAAGGAGAAATGAACGGAACTGAAGGGGGCATGAGTGGGAACTGAAGCAGAAATGAAAGGACAATGACAGGCAAAAAATCCGTAGGGTTTGGAGAGGGGGGAGACGAGAGAGAGAGCGAAGCAGCAAAAGGATGGATAAAGAGAGAGAGAGAGAGGTTTCCCATGGCTTCAAAGTGGAACGATCTCCTGCACCAGTAAAACCGGGCAGGGTGTATCAGTCTAGGGTCAACATTAACCCGGATTCCAGTTCCCAGTTTAGTAGGTAGTAGGCAACCACCAAATGTCCTTTTGGCTTGTCAAGGGTGGCAAGCCCTTGGTGATACTGTGGATGGACGAAATCCATTTCGCACCACCGTTCAGAAACCCTGGTTTCTGACTCGATTCCCCCTGTAAATACCAACGAACAGCGGTTTCCCCATGATTTCAAAGTGGTTCGAAATGGATTTCGTTCCACAGTATGGACGGGGGAAATCATTGGGTAAGGTTCCTTCCATTTGCTTTTTGGCCGCCTGGAGGGAACGAGACAAGATGTCCGGTAGTGAAATCGACTCCCTTCACAAACCAAGAGGGACAATGCAATAAAAAAACAAAACATTCTTTTCAGCCGCTGGACGCCTTGGTTACCTCCAAAACCAAAAGCCCAATGTTCATTCGGCAAAGGGGTGAACCCCCCAATAAGCTGCAGTTTGATTTTAACCTGGGGTCATGAAGGGTTGCCTGCACTGGCCGGTTTTAAACCCGTCGGCTTCCCATCCCATTCGGTCCACCACGTAGAAGGAGGCCAACAACACCTCGGCCACCTTCACACTGGCCTGGCCCACACGCGGGCTCCGCGGCGATTCGCCGGCGATGCGCCGATGCGCCGATCGGGGGGGGGGGGGTGAAGTTCCATGGAGCGACCGATCTTGCGGCTTGCAACATCCTTTTTCAGTTCTGGACTTGGGCTCGTCTCTCTTTTTTTTTGAGCTGGCGCCGCATCTTTGGTACCCCGTTTTTGGAACATCCTTTCTCAGGGGTTCCATCTTACCCCGTTTAGAGGAGCCTGGCAGTCGCTGGCCCCCCATTGGAAGGTGCTTGATTCGGGCGGAATCGAAGACACACCCAGCCACTTTGAGCTTATGTTCACTACCCAAGAGAGCCGCAAACGGACTTCAGGTGAGTCACTGGCTCAAAACCTGGTACACAAATGCTGAACCCAGAACCATGCAAAGAAGTAGAAAGGCGGAATTCCGCAACTATTTCCGGCTGGGACTGCCCCTTACTAACCTTCATCTACCCGGGTTTTGATTGTGGCTCAGCTCTGGCCGCAGTTGGAGCAAACCACTGCTCGTGCTTCTCGTTTCGAATTTTCGCCAACTCTGCGCCCGCGCAACCTCGGATCTGCACCAGTTGCTGGTTGCTGGCTTGTCCCAATTACGTGGGTGCTATCTAGCGTGGAGGTTAAACCATCTGCCCGGGCGATCCTTGGTTTACTCGAGATGCAAGGACTCATACTGTGGATGGACAAAATGTTGCACCACCTAAGCCCTGGAATGAACAAACACTGGCTTCCCATGGTAGTTTCAGAGTGCTGCGAGCCATGGTCAAGATTGCTTGCTCCCCATCCAAGAGGACGTGGGAAATGAACCGCTTCAGGGTTCCAGACATATAGCCCGGAAGCATCTTTCAGAAAGTGACCCTCCAAATCAGCTGTTCAAACAAAAGTCGCTTCACATGGACTGCTATGGAAAACTCTTTGGGAGATCCACCAACGACTTGGATTCCGGTGTCCAACAGATTCCCGACTTCAACAGGCTCCTTGAAGGACTTTAGTCCAAAACCAACACCTGATTTACAAAGGATTCCGTAAAATCTGCTGGTATTTGGGCGATTCTGTGGATGGATGAGATCTTCGGACCACTTTGAAGCTTTGGTTGAAACCAGACCGTTTGTTGCTATTTACAGGCAGAATCGAGTCAGAAACCAGGGTTTCTGAACGGTGGTGCGTTGGATGGAATTCGCATCCGTCCACACAACTCACTTCCTGAGTGGATTGGTCAGAAAAAGTAACCAACCTCTGTTGTTTACCACTTAAATGGCAACCAAGCCCAAAAAGTAGGTGCTCTTCCAAAAGTGGGCCGAATCCCCACCAAAAGGGGAGCCCCCCCTTCTCATCAAAAGGGCAACCAAACTCAAAACGTGACTACCCTCTCTCCCACTAACACTGCACCTGTGAGGCTAGAAGCTCAGCTTCCTCTTGGAGGGATCCCCTGTCAAGTGCCCAGGGTAAACTCCAACCGGAACTCACCGGCCTCCATGCTGAAGGGCGAGTCGATGTTCTTCATCTCCAGGTCTGTGGTGTAGAAGATGAAGAGCGCGTTCAGCAAGATCACGGCGCCGGACACCATGCCGAAGCCTGTGCTCTGCCTCAAGCGGCCGTCTTTGGGGCTTGGGTTCCGAAGGTGGGGCTTGGGGGCTTTGGGGGGGGGTCGCGTCTCCCAAAGCAAAGGACGGGAGCCCACCGTGTCCAAGCCCAAAAGGTGACTGACGTCGAGCTCAGGAAGTGAGTCAATAGATCTTCTGAATGATGAAGATTTCAACGTTCCCGCTGGCACAGGAGCTCCTAGCGGCCGTTCAAAAAAGGGTTCCCGCTAAGATACAAACATCTCTCTCTCTCTCTCCTCTCCTTTTTGGGAGTGGGGGCGATTTTTGGATTGATGTTAAAGGGAAAGCACCCAGCTTGAATCCTGGTTCCCTATTTTGTGACAAACCCATATTTATCCAGTGGCCTTGGGAAAAAAGAGCTGGTACTTTACTTTCTGGTCTTTGATTTTAAGGGGCCCGCCTGGGATGTGGGTGCCCCTCTGATTAAACATCAGAAGGAAGCTCACCCTAACTTGGCCCAACAGTTGACGCGGGCCAAACCGAGATCAAACTGACAAAACCACCTAAGGGTCTGGACAAACTCAATCGACAAGCCCAATTGAAGCATCAGAAATCCCTTCGAAGGGCTTTCGGAACCTGACGAAAACAAAAGCTTTTTTTCTAAGCACGCAGGTCGTCGAAGGGCTGATTCATTGAAGCGCATTCCTCCAAATAAGCCCTAAATGGTGGTTTAAAGGAATTCCCCCAACGTACTTGTTAGGACCTCAGTTGAGTGGATTGGCAACAACAAGCCGATGAATAGGAAAACAAAACCACCAGAAGTAATTTGGAGAACCCCACGTTCATGTTCTTTAAGAGAAATCTTTAAAAATAAAAAAAATAAAACCTACGGGCTTGAGGGCATATTTGGGCTCGCTTCCCCCTCCCCACTCCCTCCCAATTCTTTAAGAGAAACTTTGAAGAAAACACACACCTGCCTCCCTTTCCCCTCCCCCCAACTCCCACTGTCATGTTCTTTGAAAGAGAAGCTTCAACGAAAAGCACAACACCTTTTTGGAGAACCCCACGTTCATGTTCTTTAAGAGAAATCTTTAAAAATAAAAAAATAAAACCTACGGGCTTGAGGGCATATTTGGGCTCGCTTCCCCCTCCCCACTCCCTCCCAATTCTTTAAGAGAAACTTTGAAGAAAACACACACCTGCCTCCCTTTCCCCTCCCCCCAACTCCCACTGTCATGTTCTTTGAAAGAGAAGCTTCAACGAAAAGCACAACACCTTTTTGGCCATGTCTCCAAGTTCAAGAGCTCGGACCGCAGGTTTTGGTCTTTCCACTTCCCACGCCGTGGCGAAGTCTATTTCTGAGCCACTGCCATTTCACAGAGAAACCAAACCAAAGAAAATCCAAACCACCTAGATAGCCAAGTTGCGATCGCTTTTTTCCAGTCACTGTTGCTTTTTTTGGATGGTAAAGCTCATGGAAAAAAAGGCAATCGCACCTGGCGATCCGGGCACTCATTCAAAAACCGCTCTGAGGGCTTCAGCCCATTCTGAGGCCTCCGAACCTGGGCATCCCCCCGCCACTAGACACTAAGAGGCTAGAAGGCGAAGGAACCGGATGGCTGGGAGCCCCCAAACGGAACGTCCAACAAAAAGAAGAAGAGGAACAACAAAAAACAAGAACAACAATAATAACATATTTGTTTAAACGTCCCCGACTCCATCTTCATGCGAGCTTCACCAAGCCCAAGAGCTCGAGATACGCAGGTTTTGGTCTTTGGCTAGCCATTTCTCATGCCATTTCTGAGGCTCGCCATTTCTTTTAGTCCGAGCTTCACCAGGCGATGTAGCCGGCCGTGGCGTTGGGGCTCCTCCAAGGCCAGGCACTTCTCCCAGGACATGAGGAGCCAGACGAAGCAGCGGGAGACGTGCCCGGCGCAGCAGGACCGGTGCCGCCCAGAGGTGAAGTGGGTCCGGATCAGCGCCGCGAGGGTATTCCTCAGCATCGGTCCTTGGTGAGTTCGAGAACCTCGAGTGAAAGGCAAACTTTGGGGTGGCTCAAGATTCAAGCGCTGGGGTCACGCAGGTTTTTTGTCCTGACTGGCTGAGTGGATGGCCCAAAAAAGTTCAAACTTTATATTTACCAATAAAATGGTCTTTCCGCGGAGTTTAAAGTTCATGACCTCAGGAAGTGAGGCTTGGGTGACGCAGGTTTTTGTCGTCTTTGTTTCCATTTACCAGGGGGCCATTTTGGGTACGTACATTTTTCTGAGCCGCTGCCAAATGGGTCTCGCTTTGTTTAGGAGATTTGGACACCCGAAATGGGGGGCTCCTGTCTGTTTCCCTTTCAACGAAACACCAAGAACAGCTAGCCTCAAGAAAAGACACAAACTCCAAACGAAGGAAACCCAAAAGGACAAAAAGCGGATTCCACACGTCTCAAAGGGTTTTTCTCAAAGCGGATTCCTGTGCGCTGGAGTCGGCTTTCCGGAAAACCGAGAAAAAACAAAAAAACATTTTCTTGGTTGACGTTGGAAGGGGAGCCAAAATTTAATTTTTAGCAGGTAAGTGGGGATTTCCCACTAAACCACAACAAGCAAAAATGTAAAATGTTTCCCAACGACAACCATGTTTTTGGGGCCATTGTTCGAGAAATTCTCCACTTGAGCCTATGCGTCTTTCCTTGCCGTCAATCCCGTTGATGGAGTAGTGGTGGTGATGCATGTCACCATTCTCCTGCTTCCATGCCTCAGAAGAGCCAACCACGTAAAAGCACGGGCGGGTTCCAGCGAATCGGAGCTTCTTGGGGGCTTCTCTTTTTTAGGGCTCCCCCTCAATGATGGTTCATTTGATTTTTCCATGGGCTCCCCCTCAATGATGGTTCTTTTGGTTTTTCCATGGGCTCCCCCTCAACGATGGTGGCTCCTTTGGTTTTCCATTCACAGCAACAAACAAGGGCCGCCCTAAAGACATCAGTTGTCCCCGTCCGCGGACAAACAGGAGGGCAAGCCATGACTTTAGGGAATGCGGCAAAGAAGTTGAAGGTGGGAATCATGAACTTCTACCCTTGTCATTTGAGCGACTCTAGAAACCCTCCAATCAATCCCTACTGTGGATGGTTGAAATCGAAATCCATTTCGCAGCACTTTGAAACCATAGGACATCATTGTGAGTTGAGGTTTACAAGGGAATCATGATTCCAGGGTTTCTCAGGTGGTGCAGAATTTCGTCCATCCACGGTATGTCGTACACAACTTTTGCTTGGGATGTAAAGGGGGGTTTTGAGAGCTGCTCATTTGATTTAAGGCCAATCCGTCCGCGAATGAATTTTAGGCAAGGGCTGGACTCCACTTAGCTCAACTTCTTGGCACGGTGACTGATTTATTTGTTTCACGGGACACACCACAAATTGACCGGGTGGAATCCCTCGGGTCGGAAAGGCGGAACCCCATGCCCCCCCCTTCAAACACACCCTCACTCAGCTGGGATTTGGAAAAAAATAGTTGGGTTTCGCTGACAAATGGATGGAATAAAACCCATCTAAACCAGTGGAACCCATCTATTTTTAACCAAACTAACCGATCAAATGGACGCTTGACAATTGTTGTTTTCCCGTTGGTGTTTCTGCTCCACCAAAAAGGGAAGCTAAAAAAAAACAAACGAGCCCGCCCAGTTTGGTTTTGGACACCCATGGAGTGGAAAAGTTCACACCTTGCGACTGAGCCGCTTTGGAGGACAGCGACTCTTGTCCCTTGTCTTCAGTGACCTCGCTCTTCGCTTCGCTCTTGGATCCATCCTTGCTGTCCTTCTTCTTTTTGCCATCGAAGCGTGGCAGGAAGGTTGGCAGCTTCCTCACTCAAGCACTAGCTTAGAAAACGGTTTGGCTGTGGCTTTTGTGGATGCATCCCTGTAAGCCGTTGTCTAGAATTAGTGGCAAACCAACCAACCTGGTTGGGTCAAACATCATGAGCGAGACCTAAGGCTTCTTCAAAACGTGACCCCGCAGAGCTCCCACTTAAGCATCACCCCGCCCCACAAAACGGAATTCAGATAGGTGATGGGGATTTCCGTCCAGCATCAGCGTTTGTCTTCAACCCGAAAAGGATGTCCCACCCGACCCCCTACTAATAGATCCCCCCCACACTAAGTGGGTTCCGTTGTGTTTTCTCAATATTGGGAAGCCTGACCTAGAGAGGGGTGATGTCCTTGTGGTCCCCTTTTGAAATGTCTTCCCACTTTGTGGTGTTTTCCTCGTGGCTTCTTTCTTTAAACTGACCAAACTGGGGTATCCACCAAAAAAGATACACCAAAAAAAACAATGGGCCAGTTAAAACAGCACCCAAATACCAGCTGATTTAGAGGAACCCTTGTAGAGCATGTTGGATGCATCCTTTTTTGAGGGGTTCTCCAAATTGCTTGGGGGGGGGTTGTGCCAACAAGCAAGCAAGGAAGCAAGCAAGCCAACAAACAACAACCTAACCATGTCTCACAACCACAACAAGCACCACCACCACCACCAGAAACAAGAAACACCACTCCGAGCAAGAACAACAAGAAGAACACCACAACCACACAAAACTCACCCAGAAACAAAGGCCGCATCTCCGGGCAACGCGTCTCCGACGCCTTTGGTGTCATCTCGCGTTTTTCCGTCCGAGGGTCGAGGCATCTCCACTAACGCTGTCATCCACGTCGAGGCAGTCGGGGTCGGAGGTGGCCTTTGAGTTCACCTGGGCGACCTCGAAACAGGAAGCGGCTAGGTTGACTTGGCGAGGTGGTCCAGATTTGAGGTTAGAATAAGGGCACCACCTTTTTTCTGTATTGTTGCTTTTAGTAGGGGTAGTAGGGGAACCCTCCCCCAAAAAAGTTGGTAAAAGGGCACTACTGGGGGACCTAGTTGGGGGTGGAGGGGGTCTCAAAATGGGGTGGGGTGGTGGGGTGGGGTTGCGAGGTGGGCGGTGGGGGTAGGGTGAGGTGGTGTGGACGCCGGGGTGGTGCGGGGGGGGGGGGACCCCCCCGCAACTGGTGGCTTGCTTTCCTTTGGCATGCTTTTGAAAGGCTTACCCCTTAAAACTCCCAGCGCCCTGGGGAAGCTAATCTTTTACAGACATATAGCCCATGCTACCCAAAAAGTTGAGAAAAGTTTCGTGTTTTTCAGAGGTAAGAAGGTGCCCATGCCTCAAAACAAGGGAGGAACCACCACCCAAAGGAGGGCGGAAGACATTTTTTGGGGTCGAGGACGCGGGCGGCGGCTTTCGCAGCCCTTCTCGGGACTTGATTCGCATGGTCGAAATGCCGCCATGACTTGGATGTAGGCGACCACTGTGTGGTGGTCCAATCAGAACTCGGGCCCCTTTAAAGGGAAACCACATCTCCGTTGTGAAAGGTGACCCTGGGAAAAAAAGGGAACCCTTGTTGGGGCTTGGACCATTTTTGGTGGGGCAGCCGCCAAAAAAAGGGGAAAGAAGGGTGCCACTGAACAACTGAGACATGAATTGTCCAAACCAGAGCATGAAGTTGACCCAACGCCGCTTTAGGGCAAGACCATCCTCCATTTGCTGAAGTCCCCTGCTAGAATGAATAGTGCTGTCCTTTAATTCAACGGGGGAAACTATAATAACAACATCAATAATAATAATAAGAACACTAATGATAAACAATGATCATGACAATGAATAGTAGTAAGAGTGATAATAGGAATGATAATAATAAATAACTATAGTAGAAACAATAACAAATAACTAATCGTAATAGTAGTCGTAATAACAAAAAACGATTAGAACTAGTGAGAATAAACTTACGCTCCCACTTCTGTGATTGGAGACGTCAGCGTGTTAAAGGCCTTCCGTGTTGCAGCAAGTGGTTGCAGAAGTGCGCAACCTCGATCAACACATGGCTGTGATGTGCTTCAAAGACATCAACTAACATCATTATCAGTATCATTTGTGGTACCATACAGCCGAAAAGGAGAGGCCAACATAGGAATGATAAGGGGAACACACGATTGAAACTCTTTGGTGTAACAGAGATAATATTCTAAACGATCGATGGATGCACCATCTTCAAAAGAACAACCATTTGTTTAGATTCGATATATTTCCGCGCAAGCAAACACGCAAGCAAGCAAGAAAACAAAGACAGCTAGCAAGGAACAGATTTCGGTGTGTCTCAAAATCTGGCTCCAGGATGAATAAACTCCATGATTCAGTTGTTGGGGCGTCCCCAGTTTTAGTCGGGGTTCAATCTTCATAAGCAGGGGTTCGTCAATCCGCTCAGTTCGTTGCTTTCACCCTGCCCAAACATAGGTGTCTCGTCCTTTTTTAGGAATCAGACTCACTACAATGGCTTCGGTTTTCAACTTTTGGTTCCCTCTGAACATGTACCAACCCAAAAGACATTGACAGGCCCCCAACGATCTCATTAAAACTTGCTGGTTCTCAGCAGGGAATCAGAAATTTGGAATGGACCCCACGAACAACCATCCCATCCCAGTTGGTTTTTCCCGTATTCGGGAATCATCCCAGTTGGCTTTTCCCTTCTTCGGGTCATTCCAACTAAAACTGGGGATCATTCCCAAACCAAAACCGGAACTCCAAACCTATCGCAGCATAAATCAAACTCCCCCGGGCCTCTCCAACCAAAAACGCTTGGATTTGTCTCATTCAACCAAACCAAAACCGGCATTAACCTCGCACCAACCAATCCAAATTCCCCCCCCCCCGCATACCCCCGCTCCAACCGCTGTCGCCTGCACGGCCTGGAGCCTCTGAAGCTCGGCTTTCAGCTTCAAGAGCATGGCTTCCTCGTGGAAGGCCTTGCTCAGGAGGTCCTGGGAAGTGCGTTTTGTGTTTCGTTTTTGCTTTTTTAACAACCAAAACAAAACCAAAACAAACACGCGGAAACAAAAACACGCGGCGACACCCGCATTTCTTTTTGTTGCATGTCTGACATGAAGGGAATTGGAGCCTTGGCCGATTACGGACAGAAGCTACGGCTTGCCAAAAACTCACGGTGTGCCATTGAAGACACTATGGCTCACTCATGGCGCACTCAGGTGGAAAAGCCCTCAGGGTTTTAGTAGATGGAATGCCCGTGTGTTGGGCCGATGGCGCAACCAACACCTCAGACACGTCAGACACGTCAGACGCGTCAGACACGTCAGACACGTCAGACACGTCAGACACGTCGCAAGCACTTGCTTTGGGCCAAGGTGATCATTGATTCACGAATCGAGGTGCACTTCAACCCCTCTCCGAGAGTTGAGGGCTGCACATCTGCAACCCAGGACTCAAGGGACTCACGGGGTTCAAACCACCTAAAAAAACCATGGGGGTTCATATAACCACCATAGGTGTCCTTTTAGGGCAAATAGATGGCCCTGGTAGAGGACTAAACCACCAGGTAAACGAGGAATCGCCATCTATTTTTCTACCAAAACAACCAAAAAGGACACCTATGATAACCAGCATTATTTGCCTGATTGTCGTCATCTAAATTGGGTCCTTGCCTTTGTTTTCATCAGGTTGAACCCCAGGGGCTCTTTGTCAGAGATGATTGGGACATCCTGGCACCTTGATGAAGGTTTTTGCTCAGACCCCCCTTCCCCAAAGAAAAGAAATATCGAGATATGTGTTGGTCTTGCCATTGCAAACACATGGCGAAGACCCGCTTGAGCACTTCAACCCCTTCTTATGCGCTTTATGACATGGCTTCCCTTGATAGGGGTGAGCAAAAGACTTTGTGCTTTGCAACCACCCACAAACAGAAGCAGCACATAAGCAGCCAACAAACCAAGCACTCAACCAGAACATGCCAAGACGACCGATAAGGTTCCATTTGGGGGTCCATGAGCTACGGTCAACATGACGCACCTATCGCGTTTCCCCGTAAAAAAAAGGCGCTCGGTTTTTGCGGTCGAAAGTTAGCGAGCACACCATTGCCCGCCCCAAGACCGTAAAGAATTCCAGACAATTTGACCGAATCCAACGGAACCCATCTGGGTCTTTTCTAGCCACCAAAATGGCGGGTGTTTCCGTTTGGTTTCCCTTTAAAATCCACAAACAAATGGGGCATCCTCAGAAGCGACACTCCCATTTTGCAGGCAACCCGCGTCCTCATGAGCACCCTGGCATTGCTTCAGCACACCCAACACATCTTCCATAGCTGAGCTGAGAGCCGTTCGCGCGGGGGATCTTTCACCGAGACTCACGCTTGTTTTCATTTTTTTTGGGTGACATGCTTGAACCTGGTGAGAAAGTGGATGCGATGTTTCCTATGATTGTTGCCCGCCGGGGATTTTTGCCCGCCCTCTGGTCCTTTCTGAGCCGGACAGAGGCGGGCGAAGCTTGGGAAAGCAAATGCGAAGGGCCGCGGGAAGGCCCAGGGAGTCGTCCGACTGCAGTGGAGAAGGGGGCACCACGGGTATCCTTTGGTCATCTTTTTAAGAAGGAGCCCCCTCAGAAGAGAAACAGGGCATTGGACTTGCGAATCTTCTGAAGCGTTCAAAGGGACGAAGCTTCAAAATGTGTTTCTTCCTTCCGCCTTTGCGCCTGCAGAAGAGGTGGGCTCCGCTCGCTCCAATTGAGGGAGGTGGGGTCTTGAGCAATGTGGTGGAACTACCAAGAAAGAGAGCCCTCACGGCCATGATGTGTTGGCACTTGATGATAAACAAAGGGCATGAAAGAGATTCGTTCCTTCCGCCAGGCGAGCCAACATGCACACAACCCCAACACTTCAGTCAGAAACAAAGACTGCGACGATTCGGGGGATCAACCTGCAGTCGCCCCTTCCGGGATCCGGAAAGGAAGATTTACCTAGCCGGTTCGAGGGATGCTCCACGCCTGCCGAGTATGACTACATTTACATGCATTTTGAAACCGATACATACGGATACTATGCAATCTAACACACAAAACATGTGATTCTATATGTATATGCATACTGAGGATGTACGGTGTACGAAATCCATTTCGCACCACCTAAGAAACCCTGGAATGATTAGATTCCCCTGTAAATACCATCAAACAGCGGTTTGCCCATGATCTCAAAGTGGTGCGAAATGGATTTCGTTCATCAACAGTATGTACCCGTGCCTGACACATGTGGCCATGGGTCAAAATCCCGTACCCCCAGCCAACATCACAATCCCCACTAAAATAGGTTCTACGTAAAATGGGTGGCGAATTCACCTACCCCAAAATGGTGCCATTGGTTTTGACCAGCAGTATGTTGTTGGTGTGGGGGCCAACAAAAATCTAGCAAACAAAATCCCTAGAACCAGTGGGTATCTGGAGGGGGTACACGTGCCTGCCACATCTTGGCTGGAAAAAAAACCACCGGCAAACAATATATCTCTTTCTTGCCTAGTGAGTGGAAAACAACAAGGGCACCAATTCCAAAAAAGCGAGAACAAAAAAAAAGGCAAAAGGGGGGAGCTCATTCTGGGGGGCCAGCCACATCGCCCCTGCCAGCCACGCTTCGCCGGAGCCCCCGGAACCGGGCCGAGGCGCCCAGGAAGCCGCTGCCGAGCTTTGGGTCGAAGAGGATGGGCCTGGCAAAACGCCGAGCCCCAAGAAGCTCGGTGGCGAACTCTGCGAAGCCCGGCTAAAAGTGGCTAACTTTTGGTGGTTTAATTCGGAAAACCCATTGGTTGGATCAAAAAGTTGTTCAGTCCTAACAGCCCTTGGCAAGATGCAACAAAGGAAACACATGGGCCATGGGTCAAACGCCAAATCGTACCCTGTGAACATCCCCTAGATCGCCAAGTTTTCTGTTTTAGATGGTAGATCGCCAAGTGGCGATCAGTTTTCTTCAGTCGCCGTTGCTGGGTTTTGGGGTAAAGTGGACGGAAAAAAGCGAGCGCAACTGGTGATCCAGGCAGTTCAAACACATCAGTTCTTGGTTGCTTTCTGCGAAGCCCTGCTAAACGTGACTAACTTTTAGTGGTTTAATTCCGAAAACCCATTAGTCGGCAAAAAGCTGAAGTCAACTAACATCCAAGCAAAATGCACCAAAGAAATACATCAGCTCCAGTTGCTTCAGTTGCCTGGAAAAAGCAAACCCATATTTCCAGTAGAGATCAACTCCTTTTAAAACCATTGGGGGGAAAGCAAACATATGAAGATTAAATGAAGGACTTCAAAACATACCAAAACAAGCGAAGCCAAACCAACATGTGGCTCGCTCAAGAGGCAACTGCCTTGAAACCTTGACGTTGTTTTGACCGACGCTAGCGGGTTTCGGCGGGTCACCTGGTTTCGACCTTCTGCAAAAAACTCCGAGTAATTTGGGTAGACTCAACCGCTTCCACTGGCTACTTCCCTTTTGCTTAGAATCTCCAATTCTGAGGTCCCCTGCCATGTTCCTAAACAGATCTTCGATCGCTAGCTCCCTTTGTCCCGCGAGCGAGCCCTCACCAACCAGCAGCCAGGGTCTTGAGCCCTTACCAACTAGCAGCCAGGGTTCCCCACAAAAGGTATCCGGGTGCGTCGCTTTTTGACGGTATCTGGATCGGCAGGTGCGATCGCTTTTTTCCATCCACGTTGTATACCCTAAAAACCAGCAACAGTGACCGAACAACAAACCAGCAAAGTATACTTTGTTTTTCCGTGGTTTTGAAGGGACACCAAAGCGAGAACCACTCATTTTCACACACAGCCAGTTCAAGGCATCTTTGAATCGGTCAAACAAGCCTCGTCAAAAGGACCCCAATTCAGAGTGGTGCGGCCTGTTCAAGGAGCCTCAAGTGGTGAGTTTTGATAGCGCTCCCTCTAGTGGACATTGCTTAGGCTTCACGTGCACCACTTGTGAGGTGGTTCCCTGGTAAAAAAAATAAAAAAGTAAAATAAAAAATTGCCATTCTCAACTCTGCTAGAGGTCGATTGCTCCCAACACGACGAACCCATCTCCAAGAACAAGCACACACCCATTAGTATGGTCCGGACTTCCACACTGACTGGAGGCTTTCTGGAGCCAATTTCCTCCCTTCTGCTTGGAGGGTAGCCACGCTTTAGCCGAGCAGCCCGTCTTTTTTATGCCGTTCTGCAACCAAAGGACTTGGATCTTTAGGTCCCGTTTGGAACTGACCCAAAGGCTACGAAAGGGTAAGGTCGATTGGGGAACAGAGACGCTTGTTCCAACAAGCTCCACTTTGCTTTCCCAAAAAGAGGCCCATGTGCTCTACCCAGAGGCTCCTGGGGCTTTTGGAAGACCCCTCCATTAGACACCCCGGAGGTGGTTGGGGGTCCCAAAAACAAGTTGTTTGAAGGCCCTAAATCAATCGGGAGACTCTGGGTACCCAATTTTGCAAACTCCCCCTTCGCTTTCGGCTTTCCAATCCTCTCAGGAAAGCGACTCCGCATGAAGCGCGACAACGGCAGCGGCCGTTGTCGGCCTCGGCCGTTGCAGAAGCCCTGCACTCAACAGGCGAATTGCTTTGAACCGTCTGAGGAATATCCTTCGACACGACTTTTGTGTTCGAAACAACTGAGAACAAGTTCGGCCCGGAAACCTATTCGCTGCTCCCCCTGAGCCGGAAGTGGTGTCTAGCTACTTGTTCCTCTGGGCTGTTCCTCTGGGCTGTTCCTCCTTGGGTGCTGTAGATCCCCGAGCAAAAAGTTTAACTTGTTGCAGGTTAGCAGGAAATACGAGGAATATCCCAAAAGTTCAAGTCTAAAGATCCAACCCAATAGCAGTAGAGCGCCTCGGTCATGTTTTTGATGGCTCACAAATCTGGAATTGATTCATGTCCAACACCCCGCACCAGTCCCATCGAACATCCCCTTGGCATGAATCAGCCCGGCGGATTTACAACTTGCAAGCAGGTAGCAAGGAAAACTCCTGCTGACTATCTCGATTGCCCAAAGGACCTGGCAATAAAAGGTTCACCGTTTAGGGGGCCATGACTAAACAAGGCGAAACAAAGGAAAAACCGAAAGGTCAAAAGATTGGTTTTGGACAACTCAGCTGTCGTTGCAACGTTTGGGCAATCGCTTCACGAGCATGACACATCATGAAACCTGATGAAAACTGGCGCCAGATTCCTTCACAAATGGAACGGTGACATTTGGCAACCGTTGATTGGGAAGGACAACTCTTCCGACCTAGAAACCAGCTTGTCACAGCATCGCAGTCCAGTTGACCCCAGATTGATTTTTCCCGCCCTTTTCATAGGTTTTTCTTTTAAGTCTGGAGGATACTAATCAGGGGTAATTCCCCTTTTAGAAAGGACACCTACTTTCTTGAGGGGTTGCTCTGACCAGGGTCCTTCCCTTGGATAAATCCGAGGTTGGCATTACTCCTCTACTTTTACCCACCCTGTGACGTCAAGGAAAATCTGGGCTGCCCGTTTTCAGATCCCCCGCTAGAAGTTTAACTTTTGGGTCAAATGGAAACTACCACTAAACACCAAAAGGCTAAAGAGCTCAGGAAATGGCTGGGGAGAGTCAACAAAAAATTGGGCCGAGAACCCCGTGCAGGCTGAAGACCCAGGCCGGACGAGCCGCCAGAGTCAGCGCCGTCATCCACCTGGCACCATGTTGGGTGCACCGAAGTGGCGCAAGAAGCATCTAGATAGCCAAGTTGCTGCTTTTGTCAGTCACTGTTGCTGGTTTTTGGGGTAAGGTGGATGGAAAAAAGTTGCAACTGGAGATCCAGGACCCCTCCCCCGCACGGTCGTCAGGCTTCATGTTGGTGGACCGAAGGGTACTTGCCGCTGAGGATTCCCCAACGTTCCGTTCGCTCAATATCTTTTCCTTCATGGAGCGCATAGATGGATGATGATGAATAGAGGATTCGCAAGTTGGAGAAGTAAAGGGATGTGGGAATATCACCTGGGGGGGGTGAGAGGAGGGAGAGAGCCCAAATAAGGCCCTACTCCTGAATACGGCCTTATTTGGGGCTTACTTGAGCTCCCTCCCAATGAGAATCAGAAATTACCTGGTACTAGAGGAAGGGCATTCGATTGCTCACTTGCTGAGTGGATGGCCCAAAAAAAGTCTAAACTTCATATTTACCACTAAACTGGTCTTCCCAAAAAGTTTAAAGTTCATGAACTCAGGAAGTGAGATCGTAGCTTTGTGGCACCTTCTCTCTGGAAACACCAACCTTTGCCTTCCCAGCCCGCTACCTCGCTACAAGCTTAGCAGGCTTACACCTAAACCCCGGGGTTCAAACCGCCATGAAAAACCAATGGGGGTTCAT